GAGAATTTGTTAAAATGTCTCCTTTATTTATGCAGTCTGTACGTGTTCACTCACAGGACATAGGATTCCGATTTCTGAAGATCAGGAAGGAGAGGGTGGTAATTGTTACTCTTATTCCTAATCAGAAATGACAGTGTTTGCAGATTTAATAGTGCTAACAAACTAAAGAATAATTTTTTGCTTTCAAATATTTCTATATCTGAGCTCAAAAAGAAATAGTTATATTTTAAACCTTTTTCAGCTCATGAACACAGACTTTAAGGAGACTTATTTCAGTCATATTACAATTTTCTGATCCTAGAAAATCTTATAAATCCCTAAACACATCCCTAAACAATAAAAATTTATGTATTTGATAATGCAGAAAAGTCCAAATTTAAGGAGAAACAGTTAAAATGTATGTATACGGGGCTAATTGGTTTCAACAGTTACATGGCAGAGAATAACAAGGTGCTGGGCTGGTTGCAAGGGCACCTGCAACTTGTTTCTAGCACAACCATGACTTAATATGTTAGCGATGGCAGTCCTTCAGCACTCTTTGTCACTGCTTTCCTTGTCTCTTTCGCTGCCCCATCAGGCTGTAAGTATCTGAAGAAAGGCACCTCACTTCCTGTGCAGGATGCGGGTGAGGGGTGGTGTGGTTGTGAGTCACACTTCCATACTTACAATGCTCACACTAGCAGTGATAATGGCTTATACCTGTCTTCAGTGAAAATCTGACAGAAAACTAAGAACTTTGCCCAGACTCTTCTCTGAAAGGGAGATAACAATGAGTCTATTTTAACACACTTGTTGAACCCCAATTTGGAGGTCTTCAGACATAATGTCTGATTGATGTATTTATACACCATTGGATGCAAATTGTTGCAAAATGAATCTTTTCTTATTGGAATTCTTTTGCTGATGAGGTAAGTTTGTGGTATCTGAGCTGTGATGTGGTTTTGGCTGGGCATTTCTTTAATCTGGAGCAATTCCACCTAATTATTATACATATGTGACTGTGCAGTCACTGACAGAGGCCCTTAAACATGAACATGGATGAGTTCCACCAGCATGGAATCACAGCTGCCCTTAGTGCAGCATGCAAAATTTCTTGATGGTATGGCATTGAATAACTTCCTGAAAACCTTAAGAGTGCTGAGGTTTGAATGAAATGGAATGGCCAGCAATTCATATACAACACAGGCTGAATAGGCTGCTTCTAACTGCATCAGAAACTTTTGCTCATAGATCTATCATTTCATTTGAGAACTTAAAGTGCTAAAAAGTGGCACGACTAAAAAGGCAATGCAGCAATAAAAATTCCAGTTTGACTCTAGGGATAGCTTCAGAGACATTGTGGTCTGAATTTTCTCCATTATTTGAAAGTTGCCAAAGAAGAATTTTCTTTATTCTGGACTGGCTTTGGGAAATCTATTAAGATTTTTAATTGCATTCAAAAATATTCCTATGTTTTGAAACCTAGTCTGCAGGAAGTTTAACCACCCTTTCATTAAGGTCTCTGAGTATGGCTGAGACTTGTGTATTAGCAAGGTGCTTTGCTTGTCTGTGCCCAATAAAAATATGAGGAATAATGCCAGTTTGGGGAATGAATAGAGCAGAAGGGGGGAGCACAAGTTACGAGCTGCTTTGGTCTTCATACTCAGGAAGTACTTACCAACTTCCATTGCCTCATCCCATCTCTTCCATTAGAAGGCCTTTATAAATTATAGGAATACGTGGCCCTTAGCAAATAACTTCACAACAGAGAGCAACCAAATTGGAACGAAGCAGAACAGGAAACTCCCTTCTGTTCCTGTGGGTAGTTCTAAACTGCTAGTTCTTTTTTTCTTTCAGATCAGGATGAAAGACGAAAATCTCAATAATTTCACAAATTGAAAAATCTGAAAAATGTGTGTGCTGAGTGCAGATGAAGCATTTAATTTCAATAATTTTGCAATATCTTGTTACAATGCTGATCTTTCTTTCTTTAATCTTTTATTGTCTAAATTTACAAAGATTTCACAGATTTTAATTTTGTAAAACGTTCCAGCTTAAAGGAAACAAAAGTTCTAATTCAAGTAGCCAAAAGAGGACTATTTAAAAAATTTCTTATTAAAAAAAAAATAACTAAGGAGAAATGGGAAAGAAAGCCTTTTCTTAGCCATTAGTCTGTGTCATAACTCAGATCAGTAACAAATGCTAGATATTTCAGTATAATGGCTCTTCAGTGACTAACTCTTTTATTCTTATCTGATTGACTGCAGCGGCATTTGGATCAGGTCTAGTAAGATGGTTCTCCTACCTGTGCCCATACTAGCTCATATGCTGGTAAGTCGGTTGAGCACCAAGGAGAAATATTTATTTTTTTTACCCAAGAACTGTGGAGCAGATCACAAATGAGGGTATCCTTTGGCAATAAAAATTTTCCCTTACAGTCAGTTTCATGATTAAGCCAACGCCAGTGCTTTGTACCTCCACCTGTCTCTGAGTCAGCTAGGGTTTCCTCTGCTTTCCCTCCAAATGGGATGCCAATCCCTTGCCTGGACTTCAGAGGCACAAGTGTTGCGCCCACATTTGTGAATTGTTTAGCTTTTGCAATCTTGGCAGCTGCCTGAGCTCTGGCAAGATTTTTCCTAAATGAGAGAGAGAATGAAGTGGGCAATCCACTTTTCATGCTGTTCATGGGGTTTTTATTCTAAAAATTTGAGTATGGAAAATCTCATCATAACTTCTGTAATTTGTTTAGAAATTTGGCTAACAATAATGCTAACTTTGTTCATTAACAAAAGTACTGAGACATTTTAGAGTTTAATTCCTCAGAATTCTAAATGCCAGATATGAGAGGTACACATGTGGGCCAAATTTTCACATTCAGTTTGTGCTGTACATGCAAGTCCAACAACTTCACAAGCATATCTAATTGGTAGTTTTGTACCTGTGAGTTATGCTGCTATAAGAGACAGTTCTCACATTTACTATATATATATATTTGCTTATCTCATAGCTGCATTTTGCAGCCAGGTCTCTCTACTGAGATATGTATTTGATTTTTGCCAAATATTCTTCTAGAACCAATCTGAATATGAACAACATGAAAAGGTGCCACCTGTACAAGTGTCATGCCAGGCCAGGCAGTGTGCTTCCCACCAAATCACAGTGGGACAGAATCTGTGTGACTCAGAGGCAGCGAAAGGACCTCTCCACCAAATGGTCAGCTTGCCAGGGAGGAGGGCTATTAGGGCCAGTGAGCTCTCCACCGTCTTATTCAATGGATAATAGATCTGTGATTTCTGTCCCTACAGCATCAATCTCCCCATAGGAACCAAATTCTATACCTGGTTATCATTGGTTAAGTAACAGCAAGTTATCCAGAAACTTTGAGGCACAGTGCTGCTAATATAGCTGATGGGCATGTCGGTAAACAAGTCAACCCTGAAACAGAGAGGAGTATACACGTTCCCAATGTGTGTGTGCACAAACTTTAAACTGACTCCTCTCATGCCTTACTGATGAGCAACATATTCTGGCCATTCTTCTCCCATGCAGGCTTAGCATGGCTGATTTGTGTACTTAGCACTGAAACCTACACTTTTCCCAGGACCCATGAGGTCAGATTGCCCATAACCTACTGCTCCTTTGATGGCTCTCATCCTGCTTTCAATTGATGTGGCAGTGCATGAATACATATGACCAAAAGCTTGATATAAAATCCATTTGTCTAAACACATTTATGTTTGATAGCCTGAACAATTACTAATCCTGATTGGAAATATAAGTCATTGTGTTTACAGTGTCCTGTCACAGCATCCCCGTCAGCTCCCCTGAGGCCAAATTCTCTGGCAATGCACACAGTGTTCGTTTTTTTTTCTGCACACAGTACCGTGCCTAATTGAAATCCCAGTGAGGAAACCTCTTGTTCTGTATGCTAACCAGTGTGGATGATCCCCAGGAATTTTCCTGGTCTGCCAGAATATATCCATTAAGACAGGACACAGACCCTGCACCACTGTGTACAGTAATTTCCATGCTCCCACATACAATTCAAAAATGCCATGGCGCACACGTATCTCATCCTCAGTGAGCACAATATGCATCCTTCCTGTCAGGGCATGAGCTCACACACTAGCCAGCACCTGGGGAAAGCCCTGAAGGAACTGGAGCCTCCCTTAATCTACAGAGAGAGAGGAAAGCTCCAGAGCAGCAGCAGGCCTGCTCTTTGCTTTAAAAAAAACTGTTCATCCATCCTCACTTCCCTCTAATCTCTGAATTCTTAAGACTCTCCTCCACCACTGCCAATGAAATACCAAGTTCAAGATTGTCAGATGACCGGTATATGCCTAGGCAGTCACATCCGAAACCCAGTACAGCAGGTACCAATCACCCTTTGTCTTGCTGGCCTGCACACCTCGTACGGCTATTCACCCAATGCTATTTTGTCAGTTATTCTACACAGCTACCATGTGCCTGCCTGTGCACAGCCCAGTGAAAGACAGAGACTAGCCTGGGCAATGGTACCAGTTACTGCTGTGGCATGGCTAGTCCCTGCTAGCTACAAAGGATTCCCAGAGCTGCCTGTCGCCATGGCTCCTCTCTCTGCCTGTGGCATCAAGACACAATGCTGCAATGTGGTAGGGGAACCCAATGGTGAGTATCCTCACAGAAACCCACAGATATGTCTCTCTCCCAGGCCAAGAAATGGCTAAGAGAGCCACGGGAAGCAGCTCAGACACACATAGCTCAGCTGCTGTGGAATACCATGCTTTGGTTTCTGGCTCCAGATATCCCAGGGCTGTTGAACATTTCCATGGTCTGATGGGATGGAAGGCTTCTAGGCAGCCATGGGAAATGTGGAGCTGCAAACATTAGTCTTCAGGGGCTGGCACTAAGGGTTTGCTCTTTGCACACGAATGAGGGAAGAAAAGATACTTACTTCACCTGTTATGGCTTTTTCTATTTTTATTTTTTCTGATTCTCACCAGAAACACGTGTCTGTTCTTGACTTGCGTTTTGTCTCCCAGCACAGTGCCCTGGGAAGGACCTTGGCTCCCACATTCTCACACATGCATGCACACCACAGGGCTCTCTCCTCCCAGTTTCCCAGCAGACTGAACTGTGCCGCACCACGGTGCTGATCGCCAGGATTTCTGGACCAAGTCCCTAGCTCCCTCCAGGGAGAAAATATGGTGAGTGGCAAGGCATGAATTATGCAGTCAAGTCAGGCAGGGCTGCTACTAGAAAACTCTTGCTAGGTGAGTGAGAGGAGGAGGATAGAGGAGAAATGGAGAGGAGATACTGCTGAAGGCACACCAGGTAGAATTCAGCATAGACACCCCTGGGAAACAGCAGGGATGATTTATGGTCTGCAAGGTAGACTGAAGCAGGGTGTTTCTCTATTCTCTGTTGCACTTACAGGGATAATTATCGGGAACACTCTACCAGGGAATTACAGTAATGAGTAACATGAATACTGCTTTTGAATGTTCAATTTTGTAGGAGAATCCTCAGCCTGACTACATCATTGTCACTTCATTTTGACTTTAGTGGGTTATTCCATTTTCCATCAGATGAAAACATTGCCCTACATAAAGAAATAACATTTACTGTTTTGGTTTGGGGTTTTTATGCTGAATGAATTAGAAACCCACCGTAATATTATAAACAATATTCTAGTCCTAGCAGCTAAAATTCCTGAATTTTAATCCAAAAGGGACTACGATAACCATTTAGTCAGACCTCCTGCCTGAAAATTACACAAACTGAATGCAGGAACACTGTACCTCGGGGTATATATTCCTATATTTCCTATTTCAGTGACACAGAATTGAGAACATGGGAAATTAGTTGCACAGCAAAAGTCAAATGTTCTGTCACTTGATAACCTTGTATTTCACCTACACTCTATTGCAGTGCCACATTTCCTTTGCTTACAATGAATTTAGAAGGATATAACCTGCAATAAAAAACACAGTTCTGGAGAGTTCAGAAAACACTTTAGTCAAAGAGTAAGTTAAGTTTTCCTAAAGTCTGAATGAATACATCTACAGACGTTTTGTTGTGGGTTTCTTTCAATATTCATTGTATACTCATCTGCTAATTTTACTTACATTTTCCCAAAAAAATCTGAAAATCATTAAGTAAATTCCCAAAAGGTAATAATGAATCAATCAGAAGCACAAGTATTCTTTGGATTCTCCCAGTTATTTTTAAAGATGAGTGTTGAAAAAGAGTTAAAATTTTCTATCCAGAAGCCTACAATATGTAAATTATTATTATTAGCTAAAACTGCACACTAAATAAAATCAGACAATTTTAAGCTGAATTTATAGTGAGGTAGAAGATTCATTTGATTTGGGAGGTTTTGTGGGTTTTTTTTGTTTTTTGGAAGTTTTGGTGTTTGTTTTTTTTCAGTTATGAAATGAGATAATCTGCTTGGTGAACTGATTCAGTGATGGACTTGCTCCCGAAAGTCATTTGTAAGTGAAAGGAGTAATGAGAACATAATAGCTAATCCCTCAAAAGTTCAGCTGGATTAAAAACAATTTGAATTCTTTTTTGGAACAAAAAATAAAGCCATTTGCAGATGGTCTTCATTAGAAATACCGGTGGCAAGAATTATTTCACAGCTCCAAAGTGTGTCTAGCCAATATTCCTTAGGCCTTAATATTTCCAGTATCAGAGATGAATGTTCTCTTTGTAGTCATGTGCTTGCATTAAAGAAAGCTACTTACCAAACACACATACAGATATGATAAACATATAAAACACACACACTATTTCATTAATGCGATATATATTAAAAGATGTTCACATATTCATATCACAAGAAAAAAAGTGTGATGCACTTGATGCTGAGAAACATTCTGGTTCAGACTAATTTTTCTTTTCTTTGAATCTGCAACTCAGAAGGTCGACAACTTATTTTATACTATATTGATAATGTAAATTATACATTACTACTGCAAAACCAGTTTCCTGCTATGGACAAAATGGATGTAACCCTAGAGAACATACCAGCCTCGATGTCACCCCACTGCCTTCACTTAGCTACAGTACCACACACAGGCAGGTAGTTAGATATATAGTTATCCAACCTGCATATATTATCTGATTGGCATGTTCACTTGCTCCCTGACTGCCATAAATGAGTGGCTGTGCAGGTGCCATTAGCACATGCATCTTTTTCTGAATGCACCATTGTAGGAGTAGCTGAAAAGCTGTTTGTACTACACAGTCAGAAAGTTGGCAGCAGTGCCGGGTGAAAAATGGTAAGTATGTTTCAAGAAAAATTCAAAAAACTTCATGTTTACTCTACATTTTTTAACATCTCAATGAGAAATTCAAAAAACCTGAAGACATTGAAACCAAATCTTTTTCAGGTTCTACTGTAACAATTATTGCTTTTTCTTCTTGCTTTTCATCCTTTGTCCTCACATTTTCTTCTGCTATTTTCATTTCTTGCCCTTTTTTTTTTTTAATGATCAAGTAGAAGGTAATGAAGATAAAGGAACAGAAGAAATGAGAGGGAGGATGAAACAATACCTGAGAAGCTGTAGCACTTTTTGCAGGTTAGTTTAATAGCAAGGCCTTTGTATACCTGTACTAGGTAATAAATGTGCTTGTAGGTGAAGCTCAACAATATACAAGGTAGTTTATATCTGCCCTATTTGATAGAAAACTGTTTGGCTTGCACCCCAGGTGTCCATTCTGCTAGCTACAGATTTTGTCCCTATCCTTTTGATCTCTTAAAAATGGAATTGTGCTTCTTAGGCAATACTGTAAAAGTTACTGCCTCCTTTTGCTTGTGGTTCGGGGTGCGTACAATTTATGAAGTGAATCAGCAAATACATTTGCTTCATGCATCTGTATAACACTTTTGAAAACCTGGCAAGATACAGCTTTGAGTTAGCAAGGAAAAGAAACAAAACTTTAATGGTCACAAATTTGGGCTTAAGCTGCTCCTCCATTTCAAGCTTCATTTGTTTGCTTTCCACTTAGCAGATGCTGGAAGCACTCTTCAATAGGAAACAAATAAAACCATATTACCTGTCCCACTCCGAATCAGAGGCCAAATCTTTCTGTTAGCTATCTCAACATTCATGAATTAAAAAAGCAGCTCAAGCTCAATTTCCATGTCATAAAAAAAAAACAACTAGAAGAGGAATAATAAAAGCTTTGTTAGGCAGTTTGTAGGCATGTGACTTGTAAAATCTTCATCATTATAAAAAAATCATTGTTTGCAATCTGAAGTGCAGTGCCTACCTCTGCAAATTTGGTGAATACCAATATGAAATTTAATGCTGACGTACATCTATTTTATTGTAGGTTAAAATTTTAGGTCTCATGGCAGGGCAGCTGTGAAGAGGAAACTTACAGAGTTGTGGGTATAGAAATAGTTATCTGAGAAAAGCAACCGTATTCTCCTGGCACCACATGGCACATTTATCTCTATAGACTTGAAAGTTATCCTGCTCTAAACTGTGAAGGCCTCCTACACAATGTTCATAAATAAAAGCAGATTTTGAATCCCTGCCTTTACTTCCAAATCCCAAGGTAAAAATTGACTGGAATATATTGGAACAGATCTTCAGGTTTGGACAAAATGCTAGTCTTAGGTCATCACCATGCCTTTCAAGCACTCAAAAAGCCCCTACTGTAATATGTTATTTTGTTACTGGGCCATGCAAATCTTGCCTAAATTTTGAGTGCATGAGCTGCCAGCAAGGAGCTGTATGGTTGCAAGCACAAGGCATTTCAATGCAATACAAGTGAAACTTGTCCCTCTATTTCACTTCAGATCAGATGATTAGAAAAATTGGCTTAATGTGCCAAGACAAAAACAGATAAGCCAAAGTACTCTTTTGTTTTTCCAGAGAGAGTTTCATACAGTTCATATATAAATAGAGAATCCAGAGCAGTAATCAACACAATCACTGGGATGTTAACAGTGATATATTAAAGCAGTGTGACAGCCAAGGGACAGAGCACACATCTTACTCACTCTCTCCAGCCATGAAATCAGTAACTCAGATCATTTGTCTAAATCATCTAATACTACTTTGGAGTGAATCAGCTCACCGAGGTTTAAGGACATCCCAAGCAGATTTGTTCATATAATAGGGAAAAAACAAAACAAAAATAACAACTGCTTTATTTGAAAGCCAGGAGGGCCAAGGCAGATTTAGTTCAGTTAAAGCAATATTTGACTCCAGTTCAAGTTGGGCAGGAGTTCAGCCAGAAGTTATCATATGATTGGGTTTTGGGGATTCTATTTTTTTGGAAGTCTGTGTGAAATGATCTAGTAGTGATCTCAGTCCAAATTCCAATCCATAAGTGCCTCTGTTCCTTGCAAACCCCACAATTTGCACCACTGTTAAGAGTCTCAGAATAGAAGTCAAGAGCTAGAACCCGTAGTCTGCTTGGGGTCTGCTCTTCACATATGAAATAAGGAGATGGGAGACATGAAATGACACCATTATCTTTGCTGTCTTGACAATCCTCTAAGGAGAAAAAACAGTTGCTGAGAAAAAATAAACAATTTTTTTAAAAAAGTAACAACTACACCAACTACTGCATTCATAATTTAATCCTTGTCTTGACTTTTTTTCTTAATTTTAGCATAAGGTAAAGATGACAGTAGGATCTCAACAAACACTTCCTCACACTGTCACACTATTATTGAGTCTGGTTAAGAGTCAGCAGGATTTACACAGTAAAGATGAATCAACATACTTTGACTTATTTTTAAGCCTTTTGAAGACCGTGTATCCTAAAGTTTGCTCTAAGTTAACTTTTAACTCATTTGCCTTCTAGGACGTGTAAAATAAAAATATCAACAAATACAATGATTAAGTCGAAAATACAATGAAAAAAGCTGATGTATTTCAAATATATGAAGTTATCCAATTTTAAGGAATGTCTTTTACATCTTGTACATTCTAAACTTCACTGCAACCAATGAAAGATATTTAGTCTGTATCTAAAGTAAATATCCCATGGAACAGCACATCTTCAAAGTAAAGGAAAATCTTTCACTGATCTCTCACTCTCAATGCAGCCTTGAACCACTGCACCATTTGCCCAGTCCTTGTAGGGTTTTTAGACAGTGCTTCTCAGAGCACTGTAATTAATGACATTTTCTCAGCCTATTGCTGCTGGTCTCCTCAAAAAATAAACTATATTCCTAAAAGTATATCAGGACAATTCAGAATTTAAGAACACTTGCAAAACAAAGTCCAGTAGGCTAGGGAGTAATGCAAAATGCATGAAGTTATTGGATATTTTCGATGTCAACACCAGCCATAACATACTAATAATTATTATATACCATTTCCGCATCTGCTTGTTGAATTTGCTCATCTCTCCACCAATATTCTGTATCTATGTAGTTATATATGGTCAGACTTTGGAGTAGTAGAGAATGTCTTCTCTCCTACATAAAGTTTACCAAATTACACATAACCAGATAGTAAAATGAAAAAGAATGAAAGTTATTTCTTCTGTACAGGTTTATTTTACTGTTTGTCATCCTTGTATCATACTGAAAACCAAAGATTGTACTACAAAGATTTTACTCTTATTTTTCATCTGTTCTATTGAAATGTGACATACAGACTATGTGGCTTCAGATTTTCTGATTCACTTAAACAGAGTAGAATCAGGCCCATGTAATCCTGCCAGGATTACAAAAATGTACGTTTTCCTTGGCATTATTCAGAAGTGTTGGATGATGGCTCCCCTCAGAGGTAGTATAGGGAGTATGCACCAGTCCAGTATGTCTCCATGCTACAAGAGGTCATGAAGAGATTGTGCATTATACATGATAGCTGAAAATGAATTGCAAAACTCCACCCTACAAAGAATTAGAGTTTGCCAGTTCTTTTGTGGGAAATGACTGTAGCTAATTAATACAATCTATTATAACTAATTATGAAATATATATATAAATTTAAAAATTGTATCAAGGATTAAGCTTCATTTTACAGCATATAACCAATTTTGAGGTTGTGTTAGAAACATGCAAAAGAGAAACTTACCTGACTACATTCTAATACTTCATCTTCACAAGACTAAAATGAAGGCAAAATAATTAATAAAATGTTTCTATTGATTTAAAAGTCAATTATTTGCAAGCTAGAAATATTAACATTTGTCCAACCAGATGTTTGGAGTGGTTCTGTGCCAAGCTCAGCTATGTTTGGGAGAATTCTCTCAGTAGTGTCTTGTTCAGTCCTCTGAAGCCTATAAACACATTCTCTTGCCTCAAAGCTATTAATTTAGGATAAAACATCAGGATAACACTCTACCCTGTGCCTATTTGAGGGATTCTGTTAAGGAGCATGGAGATTACTTCTTCCAATATTATCTCCTGCTATTTTTATGAGATGCATAAAAATGTTCTTGAGCTGACTTTTAAAGAAATATTCTAAAATACTTCTAAAAATTGCTCATAGTTTGACCATCAGATCATTGTAGAATGCATTAGCTTGACTTTTGTTCTTAAAAAAGACAATAGAGAAAAAGGATAATATAATAAACATAAAAATTTTTGAGGTCTACTAGTTCTTCCGATTTCTCTAATACAAGAAATAAATAGAGGATATCAGATGAAACTAGCATGTGGCAGATCCAAAGTACCCAAAAGTAAGTGGTACTTCTAGAATGAGAGACAGACGATCCAAGTATATAAAGTGAATGTTTCTGAGACAACCACCATCACCACAGAAAAAGTCTGGAAGTTATAACTGGTATAAGAACCAGGAAACACCAGCTCACTGCTTGGTAGTAGTTGAAGTAGCAAATAAAATTATAGAAATAATTAGATGGGAAACAAAGATTAGAAAAAGCACAGACTTCGCCACACTGTAAACCAATGCTGCATCTTGAATCCTATACGCAGGTGAGTTTCTAGTCTCAAGAATGGATACAATTCAGCTGGGAGAGATACAGAGAGGGGTAGGAGTAACAATAGTGTGTGCACCAGCTGCCGTGCATGGAGCAGTCAAATAGCTAGGGCTCAGCTGGGTGGAAATATGACAAAGCTTTATAAAATCATGAGAAGTAAATACGAGGTGTATTGAGTCTGATAGCTCATTCCTCATTGAATATAAGAAGTATAGACCATGAATGGAACTTAATGGATGGCAGGTTCAAAGCAAGCAGGAGCAGGCACACCTTAACTGAACACATCGCTAAGGTGTGGAACTGAATGTATGTGTCTAGCTCACAAAATCATTTAGTGGCAAATCACAGGGGTTAGAGTGTATTTATTTTAAGAACTTTATTATGTAGATAAAGCAAAGTACTTTTTCTATATCTAAGGGAATGGCAAACACCACCTGGAAGATAGCAAACCAAGATCAAAAATAATTTCCTTTCCATTGATATTTCACATTTCTTCATTTCTTCATGTCCCCTTGCTGAATGGAACTTGGAATAGAAAGATGAAACAAGTCCAGGGGTTGCTCTGTTTAATAAAATATGTAATGCTAATTAAGATTAAACATGAGAACTGAGATACCAAAAGTAGGATTACTCAAATACTTTCCATAAAGAAAAGAAAATTGGCATTTTCATAACCCTATGAAATTCTTTAATAAAAATTGTAAATGTCCAAATCTCAGTATAATCTTAAAACAGCCATTTCACTAAGAATATTACTGCTAGGATATATGCAACAAAACTGCTAAACTGATGGTGTGGATGTCAGGATATTGACAATAGGATTATCTCAAATAATCAAGATATCATTGTGGAGTCTGAGTTCAAGAAGGATGCTTAGTAATTCTTGAAAATCAGGATCTACAGTATTTCAAATGAAGGGCTATTAACCCACAACTCTGAAAATGGTCTATTCTTTTCAAAACCCTTAATCTATGTTTTAGTAAGTTGAAAATCCACAAAAGTTGACAATATAACCCAGACAATGCACTTCAGTGATAGAGTGGTAGAATCTCACTCTCCAGGAGTGAATTATCGCTCACATGAGTGAATGAATTAGAGACATATGATTGTCTGGCATTCAGAGATCTGTCCCATATAAAGAGAATGAAGACCATTACCGAAGTGAGTATTTTTACAGCATCATCTGTTCCTCACTTTCTTTCAGCTCTTATTTAGCCTCTACTATTGTATAATTCAGAACATAGAACCTGTAGCAGAAAAAAAGTCTATCAGAGCAGCTTGGGGTTTGCAGTATAACTGTAAAATCTGTGATTACATTTAACATCATGTATTTATATCCCACAGCTAAAACAATAACAGTCACCAAGGAGTAAGAGGAGAACGCAAGTGAAGGCCATGCTCTCTCAAATGTGTGGCCATGTTGCTAATTGCTCCAGTGACATCTCACTCACCATTAACGTGGTGGTGTCATGCAGTACTTGGCAATGCAATGTGTGCCTTTGTGCAAGCAGAGCTGTAGCAAGCCTGAGAGGTATTTTGCTTCACTGAAGGAGAATGTGTCTTACCACTACCAGTGTGTTACAGGTAACACTGTTCTTTCAAATGACATATGGAAGTAGAATGGGGCTGTCTGGCTAGATTTTTCCTGCCTGCTCTGGATATATTGTGAGGTGCCCTCTCTTTCCAGAAGAGTAGGGATGGAGTAGTTCAGTACTGCTTCTTCTCTCCAATAAATGTTCTTACACGGCTGATGCTGAATATGGCCATTACTGGCTTCAGAAATAATGGCTTCAAGTACCACATTATAAAAATAGAAATTAGTCAGTTTTCCAACTCAGCTGGCAGTTTTTGTTTTTAATATTTTTATTACTTCAGACATCATCGTCCAGCCATCTGCTAAAGATGAGACAGACAATAACTGAGCAGAACTGGAATGGATTTTGCTGCATCTGCAGCTGGGCATTTCATTACTGTACTCTGATGGGGAATTGATGGGGGCAGGTATTTTGTTCTTTTTATAGAGGCAACCAAAATGTGATGCACAGCAACACTGGACTGTGAAAAAGGTTGCTGTTGTTTACAGGAAGACCAGATGACCCATACCGACTTTTGCTCACCACTCTGCTAGGGAAGAGGCAGCAAGTCTCTCTCAGTTCCTTCTCCTGTCATTCCTGAGGCTCTTCTGATCATCGAATTACTGAGATTTTTGCAAATTTGAGAGAGGAGCTAGGCTAACCCACTCCAAATGCTACAAATGCCCTGTCTCTTGCTCCAGTTCCCGATGCTGCTTCCTTTCTCTGACCTCCCTTTTTTTAGTTCTGCAGACAAGTTATCCTCCAAAGGACCAACCTGACCATTCTGCCCTTCAGAAGCTGGCAGTCCTAAGGATCTTCCTTGCTCAAATCCAAAGTTATTCCTGATCAGACAATTAGGATGAGTAGCTTTGGCCAGCTGTAGGCCATTTTGATTTTAAAAAGGGCAAAACATTCACACTGACATGTGTGCTTTTCTAAAAATGAAACTTCTCTAAATAAAAGACATCTTTTCCTTTCTTTTGGTTTTAGTTTGGCAAAAATCAAATAAAACAGTGCCTAATAGGGTTAATATTAAGTTCAAGGTATGTGGTGGTGGTGCCCTGAAGATATGTAAAGACCCACAAAAGTCTGAAACTGAAACATTGAAGTCCTATGGCATCTTTTATGTTAGAGCTTTCTGGGTTTGGGTGGTCTTCAGCCAAAATTGCTTCTACGTATTTGCCCAGTCCATCTATGTCCTCTTAGCTCAGATACTATTCTTTCTGTTGGTTTGTTCTATGGGGTCCTTAAACAATTGTTGCAACTCACTGGACTAAAAGATACTTATAAACACAAAATTTGCCACTTGTGTAAAATTTAAAAAAAAAACCAACAAAACAGAATTGTCACTATCAACTTCAACAAATCTCAGCATGAAAACACTGCAG